TAAATTGTATGGTAATTTCAGACAATTTTATTTATGTATTTGAGTGTATTGGTGTGTATGTGTGTTGCATTACAATTGTGATAAGGTTCATGTTATCAAAGGGAGTAAGTCACTCTATAATATGACAAGTCCTATCATGGAAGGAAGTTACTCATGTGTTGTCATCATGACAGTCCTTGGGCAAAGAGGTTGAATCTCAGGTCTTTTGGCAGGATGTCTGTAATTCTCACAGGAACAGTCCCTGTTGCATGCTGGGAGTAATTTTATTATTTTTATTTATTTTAAACAAGTTTTAAATTTTATTTTATTCATAATTTTTTTATTATTATTATCTTTTATTTTATTTTATTTTATTTATAATAATAACAATGTCCCCACAGTCTATGCTTATGTCATTGTATCTCATATATGATTTTATCTGTAATTTTATAATTCTGTTTGTGATTTGATGATGCCATTTTAATCCCCCCCGCCAAATTACATATATAAAAAAATTACATTCAGACAAGGCCAATGCATTACTAGAAGTTTTAACTTAGTTAAAATTTAACATAATGGAGACAATGTTGGAGTGAACAGATGTATTTTTTTTCATTGTTCAAAGAGATATATCAAATTTTAAAAAAGAAGTCTTGATTATTTTAATTAACCATTTATTCTTATATTTTTATTTGTTTATTATAATTTTAATTAAATTATTATGCATTTATAATCTGTAATTATTAAAATACATATTTATTTTTGAGGTAAGTCGAGGTATACATATACATATAGATTATACATATACATATACATATACATATAGATTCTACATATACATATACATATAGATTATACATATACATATAGATTATACATATACATATAGATTATACATATACATATACATATACATTATACATATATATATATATATACATATATATATACATATACATATAGATTATACATATACATATATATATATATATATACATATAGATTATACATATACATATACATATAGATTATACATATACATATACATATAGATTATACATATAGATTATACATATACATATAGATTATACATATACATATACATATAGATTATACATATACATATACATACATATAGATTATACATATATATATATAGATTATACATATACATATATATATACATATAGATTATACATATACATATAGATTATACATATACATATATATATATATGATTATACATATACATATACATATAGATTATACATATACATATAGATTATACATATACATATATATATATATACATATAGATTATACATATATATATACATATAGATTATACATACATATAGATTATATATATACATATACATATAGATTATACATATACATATAGATTATACATATATATATACATATAGATTATACATATACATATAGATTATACATATACATATACATATAGATTATACATATATACATATAGATTATACATATACATATAGGATTATACATATACATATAGATTATACATATACATATACATATAGATTATACATATACATATATATATACATATAGATTATACATATATATATATAGATTATACATATACATATATATATACATATAGATTATACATATACATATAGATTATACATATACATATATATATACATATAGATTATACATATACATATAGATTATACATATACATATATATATATATACATATAGATTATACATATACATATAGATTATACATATATATATATACATATAGATTATACATATACATATAGATTATACATATACATATATATATATACATATAGTTTATACATATACATATACATATAGATTATACATATACATATAGATTATACATATACATATATATATACATATAGATTATACATATACATATAGATTATACATATACATATACATATAGATTATACATATATATATACATATAGATTATACATATACATATAGATTATACATATACATATATATATATACATATAGATTATACATATACATATACATATAGATTATACATATACATATAGATTATACATATACATATATACATATACATATAGATTATACATATACATATACATATAGATTATTTTATTCTAAAATATGTGTTCTTTAAAAGTTTACTTTAGTAAGAATGTCTATTATCATAAGGAATTATTATATTAGGAACATTTAATACATTATATTCGTTAAGTTATTTATAGACAGGTATGAATAATTCTGTTCTTTTTATATTTAAGCATAAAAACAAGCAGACTAATAGTATAGATTCTCAGTCAGAAAGGCAAAGCATTAAGCAGATACTACACTCTGATCTATAGTTAAAAAGCATAAAATTCATACATGAAAAACAAGCAGAATAACAGTATACATTCTTGGTCAGAAAGGCTGAAGATCAAGCAGATACTACACTCTGATCCATAGTTAAAAGCATAAAACTCATATCTGAAAAACAAGCACTATAATATCTGTCTATATTTCTGAGATGAGGTATTATGTACATTATTTGGACTATTGTCCTTATCTTTGTTGCCACATTTATCCAATCCTTCAGTATCTGTCTATAATTCTGAGATGAGGTATTATGTACACTATTTACATTATTCTGACTATTGTCCTCATCTTAGTTGCCATATTTATTACAACGTTCCGGCTGTTGTACACTCCAGCCTTCCTCAGATGGTTGGAATGTCGAACGGAACCCTTTATTTCGCTCACTGGGATAGACTGTTCTAGTTCCACGTGCCATGTCTAATGGATGTCAGTTATCAGTTATCTCCTGTTAATTTCCCTCTGAAAGTTCTCCTCTGCCTTAACTGGGTATTGAACTCACACTCTTTGCGTCCTGTCACTGGATCTAACCAACGCCTTTATCCACTGTGTGTACAACGGCCAAAATGTTGTAATAAATATGGCGACAATGATGAGGACAATAGAAAGGTAGACGATTGAGCAGATACAACACCCTGATCCAGGGTTGAAAAGTTAAGGTTAAAAAACTCAAGATAAAAACAAGCAGAATAATAGTATAGATTGTCAGTCAGAGATTTGAGCAGACACTACACTCTGATCCTTGTTTAAAAAGCATAAAACTCATTCATACAAACTAGAATAATAATAGTATAGATTCTTGTTCAGAGAGACAAAGGATCAAGCAGATACTACACTCTGATCCTTGGTTGAAAAGCATAAAACTGCTATCTAAGAACAAGCAGAATAACAGTATAGATTCTTGATCAGAAAGTTAGAGAATTGAGCAGATACTACACCCTGATCCTTAGTTAAAAAATATAAAACTCATACATACAACAACTATAACAATAGTATAAATCCTTGCTCAGAAAGACAGAAGATTTAACAGATACTACACTCTGATCTATAGTTAAAAAGCATAATATTCATACATAAAAACATGCAGAACATTAGTATAGAATCTTGATCAAAAAGGCAGAAGATTGAGCAGATACTACACTCTGATCCATAATTAAAAAACAAAACTCATACCTAAAAAGCAGCATAATAATAGTACATATTCTTGGTCAGAAAAGCAGAGATTTGAGCAGATACTACACTCTGATCCAGGGTTGAAAATTTATGGTTAAAAAGCTCAAGATAAAAACAAGCAGAATAAGAGTATAGATTCTTGGTCAGAGATTTGAGCAGATACTTCACTCTGATCCTTGTTTAAAAAGCATAAAACTCATTCATACAAACAAGAATAATAATAGTATAGATTCTTGTTCAGAGAGACAGAGGATCGAGCAGATACTACACTCTGATCCTTGGTTGAAAAGCATAAAACTGCTATCTAAGAACAAGCAGAATAACAGTATAGATTCTTGGTCAGAAGGGCAGAGGATTGTGCATATACTACACTTTGATCCATAGTTGAAAAGCATAACACTCATACTTAAAAACAAGCCAAACAATAGTATAGATTTCTTGAGCAGATACTACACTCTCATCCTTGTTTGGAATACATAATGGTTATGCATAAAAACAAACACATAAATATAAATATTTTAGATATTATTTTTGTATTGTATGGTTTATATTTTATGACTAGTTAGTAGTAATATTCCTCTCAATTTTTGTTTAATTTATTTAATAAGGGGCCAGCTTAGCAATAAAGAAATAAAAATTTTAAAAATTCCAAGTTGTTAATTGACATATTTAATTAATATGGATTTAATTAAAGCAGTTTTTTTTACACCTAGTAAACAAAATCAACAAAGGATTCATTATATAATGTTAATATAAAATAAAATTAAAAATGAATAATATTGTTTTTAATTTAAGAATTACATCAGTAATAATAACAATAATGTCTTGCAAAATGTCATTTGAGTTGCTTTAAAAAAAGATGAAACCAGAGTGTACCTGATTTTATGAATAATCAAGAGTGGTCTCCCCTTGTTTTGGTATTCTCTTTGAGAGAGCTATTTCTGTTTACTGGGACTATAAAAGGACACTATATGTGAACCTTGTATCTCAGTTGAATAAAGCTTTCTTAAAGCCTACATCTGCGTACTTTTGTCATTACACCTGATATGGGGATAGATCAATAAGGCCATAGCCAGACAGAGTCATGAATTGAGTTATGATGTAAAACTTTCAGTGTATAATGTTCAATTTACACAAATAACAGAGAAGTAATTGACACTGAAGGAGAATATGTTGAAAAATAGATATTTGATTGATTCATTTTCTTCAGCTTATCAACCTTTTACAGATTATTTAAAGCCAGAAAATATTTTTAGATTGTGAGATTATTTTTTTGAGATAATAATGCCTTAGTGATACAAGTTTTACTATTTAATCCACAGTTGGGGAGAGAAATTATAGATTCATACCTTTCCCAAGGGTATTTGTGCATAAGTGAATATAATAAACCCAACAGTTATAGAAATGTGGCTCTCGGATTAACAATTCAAACCATCATCTGTCACACCACCCACGCATCCAAGCTTACAGCACCTAGTATTCCCAAATGGTCACCCATCTAGGTAATGACCAGGCTCAATGTTGCTTAACTTTGGTGATGGTACAGGAAACAGTGTTTCAATGTGATATAGCCATGTGCATTTGAGAAAAATTAATAAAGAAAATGTTCTCTCTGATAGATGCACACAAGTTTGAATCCTATGCAGGAAAAACCACCATTTGATCTGGCATGCTTTAGCCAGCTCGGCCTCAGAGAGTGTTGCTCGACAAGTTGCTATGTACCTGTAGGTAATTCAGTTTGCCTGTCATTTGCGATGACTGAAATGGATTAAAGTGCTTGCTTTCGTTCAGTCCTTCTGTCTACCAACTGAGCTGTTGTTAGTGACCTCTTATTCTCTCAGTCTTGTTAGTACGTACATCGTCAAGCCAACAATACGTCTCTCCCATCTTCCTCCTAGACTTGCTATTTATGCCCGTGTTAGGGGCAACTAAAATTTGCATACAAGACTTAATTCTCGTTCATCCAAGACTTCCAGTTTTATAAATTCAAGCTGGTTTGAATTCTTAGTCTATTTTATTTTTATTTTTTCCTTTGTACGTCTGCCCGCAATATGGGAATTTTGGAATAATCCATTTCTCTTTTAATGCCTTTCACGATCTTTCAACAGGACCTGACATGCCAAGCAAACTCGTTTTGCGGGAGGTAAGTCTTCTCATTCCTCACAGTACCCTTTTAAGAAATGTACTCTCCCTCATTAAGATTTTCTTGAAAAGGACATATCTGCTCAGTTTTGCATCCAAAACACAAAAGCATGCTGGATCAAATGGTTATTTATCATATAAAGGTGGGTGCAGGTTCAAGTCCAGCCAGAGAGCCCATTTTTGTAAAAAAAAAAAAAATTGCTGTAATTAAAAAGAGAGAAAATGACATGAAAACAATAATTAGAATCAATTTTTTTTTTTTTAATCATTTTACCTCAAGCAAGGAGATAAAGCCACTAAGATGTAATGGAGGAAAAGAAACCGAGAAAACATTACTGAGAAGAGAGAGGACATTAAAAGATCAGGATTGAAGGAGAGAGATAACAATGACTGATATTACATTTAGATTTTTGAAGATCGTAGTTGCAAGAAAGCAGAGGAAAGTAAAAATACAAAAGAACAAATCTGATTGAGGAAGTTGGAGCGAAAAACAAAGAGGAATTGTTAACCTGTGAATGAGAGAAGAAAGAAAAGATCAATTGAATGAGCAAAGCAAAAGAGTTAAGGAAGACATGGAAGGAAGGAATGAAGAAGAAACTAGCGGAAGAATGTAAAATAGAGGAATTACAAAGCAAAACCTGGAGTGGTGTGGGGCTAAGAGAAATATATAAAAGAATTGTTGTGAAATCATTGTAGGGATGAAAGAAAATGGATGTTCTTAGGGAACAAGATGGAGTATTTCAATGTGAAATATGTAAGGAGAATAGAAAAGAGAGAATGAAAGAGAATGAGTGAACAGTTGGAAAGAAAAAGTATAAGAAGAAAACATCAAAGAAGGGAAAAAGAAGAAAGGCAAATTGAAAAGAATGAGTAAATAAGTGAAAAAGAGAAAAATAAAGAAAACGGTGAGAATAAGATATGAAAGATAAATGAAGCAAATAAAAAAGTAAAAAATTGTTGAAAAAATGTGCCAAAACAAATTTGGATTGAAAACGCAAACAAATGAGAACAACTGAATAAAAGAAAAAAAAATTGTTAATTGCTAAAAGAATTATTGAAGAAAAAAAGGGAAGGAGATAATGGAGGTTTGTTGATGAGGGTGAATGAAAAAAAGGAAAAAGGAATAATAAAAGAAATGTGTTAAAAGTAAAATATTCTCAAGTAAAAAAAGAACAAAGAAGTGAGAAAAAGGAGGGAATAAAAAGAATATGGAGTGAAGCATATGAAGAAAGAATGAATGAATGAAGGAAGGAAAATGAGAGTAAGAAAATTGTTAAAATGTGAGAATTTGACAAAAGAAAATAAAAAGAAAGAATGAAGAAGTGAAGAAGAAACAAAAGAATGTGAATAGAGGGAATGAAAAAAAGAATGAAAAAAAGAAAGGAAAGATTTACTGAAAGAATGAAGTAAATGGGTTTACACTGGAAGAAAGGAATGGAAAGAGAAAGTAAAAGAAAGAGAAAGAGAAGGAATAAAAAGAAAAAAGGAATGGGAAATGAAAAGAATGGAATGAGACAAGAAAAGAACGAAAAAGGAATGAAGAGGGAAAAAACAAGAAAGAAAAAGAGAATAGAAAGAGAAAGTAAAGGAAGGAGAAAGAATGGAAATATAAAGGAATGAAAAGAAAAAGAATTAAAAGAAAAAGGAATGAGAACAAAAAGGAATGGGAAATGAAAGGAATGGGAAATGAAAGGAATGGAAAGAGAAAGGAAAAGAAAGAGAAAGGAAAAGAAAGAGAAAGGAATGGAATCAGACAGGAAAGAAAGAGAAATGAAAAGAAAAAGCAATGGAAAGAGAAAGTAAAGGAAAGAAATATAAAAGAATGAAAAAAAGGAATGAAAATTAAAAGAATTAAAAAAAGGAACGAAAAAAAAGGAACAGGAAGTGAAAGGAATGGAAAGAGAAAAGGAATGGAAAGAGAAAGAGAATGAAAAGGAGAGAGAAAGTAAAGAGAAAAGAATGGAATGAGAAGAGAAAGGAAAAAAGAAAGGAAAGGATGAAAGACACAAAGGAAAGGAAAAAGAAAAGGAAAGAAAAGGAAAGAAAAAAGAAAAAGAAAGAAAAAAGAAAAAGAAAGAAAAAAGAAAAGGAAAGGAAAAAAGGAAAAGAAAAAGTGGACAAAATTCCTGCCTCTTATCACAAAAAGACAAAAGGAAAAGAAAGAGAAAACAAAGTAAAAAAAGAAATTAAAATGAAAGGAAAAAGAAGAGGAAAGGATGAGAAAAAGGAAAAGAAAAGAAAAAGGAAAAGAAAAGAAAAAGGGAAAGTAAAAGAAAAAGGGAAAGTAAAAGAAAGAAAATAAATAAAGAAGGAAAAGTAAGAAAATTTCTGATAAAAACAATCTATCTGGATAAGTAAATTTAGAATGACAGGTGAGGAGTGAGGTAGTGGAGAGGGACGATTCCGAGTTGGGGAGGATTTAAGGTAATCAGATAATGAAGAGGGAAAAGATGACAGTGGGTATAGGCAGGGAATCTCATGAGAGGTTAGGAGATAGACTAGGTGAGCAAGTGTGCTTTCTTCCATCTCTGGTTGGGGAGGTGGAAAATGGAAGTTTCCTGGGAAAGGCTTTTGCATATCAGGCAATTCTTGTCAACCATGGCAACAAAAGAGAACTTATCCTATTATGTTGTTCTGTAATTATGGCCTTCTGCCAGACAAAAATTTTTTTATGTTCCATAACCCTTCATAACCGTGGGCTATCATGGCTCTCCACAGCTTCCTATCTCTTGTGGCTCTAAGGAATGTTTATCCATGTACTACCCTTCCTAGTTCCTGTTCTACCATCCATTTACACAAATTTGTTAAGTGCATTATTCAGTGTTTGTTCAATATCTTGTGTGTGTCAAATTCTCCAAACCCTCTATCCTGTCTCTTTCTGATTGAATCATTCTAGAGTAGTGCTTCTCAACCTATTTTTACCCATGGATCACTTTTACTTTTGAATTTTTTTGGTGGAACCCCATAACCATTTGCTGAAAAAAAAAAAAAAAAAAAGAAGAAGAAAAAAAGCTTCTTTTTTTTTTTTACTAATAGATGAGTTTAGGAATTTGTATATAAAAATAGTAAATATATATGCTTTATTTTGAAGTAAAACTAATTTAATGAAAATAAACTTGTATTTAACAACTAAATTCTATGGAACATTTATGTACACTAGTAAAATAACTTTATGATATAAAAAAATCATCAAGTGGAAGAGTTCTGTTGTCTTTAATAACACATGCTGTAATATATATATATATATATATATATATATGTATGTATGGCATAAATGTAGAATAATGCCTGCCCTATGTGTGTATAGAAAATAAAGGTTTAAAAAGGGTACATTTCACTGATTATTTTAATTGCGGCAGCAGAGATCTTGAAATTTCCTTGTGAAACATTATATTTCTCAATTATTAAAGAAGAACAATTCTAAATTGTTCAGAAGAAATCCATGACAAAAACCCTGCCTCTTATCCTAAAAGTCGACAAAATCCCAATTCCTTGAATTTCCAATGTTAAATTCGAAACTTTTTATATATAAAACTAGAATTTTGTCCATGCTTGAAATAAGAAACTGGGATTTTGTCCTCTTTTGGAATTAAAAAATTAAAATTAAATTTTCAATTATCTGATTTCTCTGCAGACTTATCTTTAAAAATACAAAAATTGATTCGTTTTTTCACAGGTTATCAACCCTTTGTGGGTTATTTAAAGCCAGGAAATATTTTGGATTGTAAGAATATGTTATTTTTTTGTCAGTGAATACTGCATTAACAATTTTCTGAAAATAAATGTTTTCACATACAAGCCCTAGTATTTAACCCATAACTGGGGATAAGAGATGGATTCATACTTTTCCCAAATGTATTTATGTATAAGTGATCTATTACACCACCCACATATCCACTTCAATTCTCGACTTCTAATGTCTCTAAGCTCTGAAATTTTATATGCAATACAGTAATGGGCAACTTAATTTTCTTAAATTAATCTAAAACTGCTCACAATTTAAAAAAAATGATTTCAAAACTTGGTAACAAATAAACAGGAGTAGATAGGTTTGCCTATTGTCTGGTTCACACTCCTCCCCAGTCTTTTGAACAGGAGTAGAGGTTTATCCCTTGTTCCCTGCTTAGGATTGGGTTTCCAGTTCCTTCTTAACCTACTTCAACTCTATACTTTTCCACCCGAACTCTGAATTTTATTTACTAATTTTTTTTTTCTTCTCATTAGTAGTAGACAGGTTTGCTTATCATCCAGTTCACACTCCTCCCCAGTCTTTTGAACAGGTGTAGAGGTTTATTTCTTGTTGCCTGTTTAGGACTGGGTTTCCAGTTCCTTCTGAAGTCTTTTAATTTTCTTTCACTCCCAGCAGCCCCTTGAGTCTCAGTGGCATTATTGCCTTGCTCGAGGTAAATTGTTTTAAGAAAAGAAAAAAAAT